AGATGTGTCTCCTAACAGCTTGACTTGCATCCTAACCCCTCTAGGCCGCTCTCACACTCTCCTCCTCCCCTCCTTCTCCTCCTCTGTCCTGTAAAAGATGTCCCCTAACGGCTTGACTGGCATGCTAACCCCTCTCTGCCTTCTCTGCCCCGCCGCCCCGCCTGCCTCCTCGCCGCCTGCAGCTCACAGCGCTGATGCCTGCCCAGCAGCAGCTTCTCCTGCAGCAAGCGCAGGCCCAGCTGCTGGCCGCCGCGGTCCAGCAGTCCAGCGCCGCTGCCAACGCCGCTGCCGCCGCCGCCGCCGCCTCCGCCGCCTCCTCCGCCTCCTCCGCCTCCGCCTCCTCCGCCTCCGCCTCGCAGACCCCAGCCTCCTCTGGGGGAGGCGACCTGCCACCATCACAGCCTGCCAGCCAGCCCCCAACAACCCCACAGCTCACCTTGTCCCAACCCATCCAGCTCACAGCACAGGTAAGGGCAGCGCAGAGCCCGGCAAGGTGTCTCGCTGGAGGGTGCTCCCTGGAGCCCCGGTACGTGCGCAGGAGGGGTGACTGGTCCTCGAGGGCCCTCTGACAAGCCCCCGCGTGCGCGCGTCTGCAGCTGTGGGGAGCCTTGGGAGCGTGAGGCCTCCCACCCCACAGGCTCACAAGGAGGCCCTCTTTGCCCTCTTCGACCTCTTGGCGGGCTGCGCGCCTTACTGCAAGGAGGCTGGAAGCCGCCTTCCTTGAAGGGTGTCCTTGTGGGAATCAGAATCCGCGCTCCAGGCTTGGGAGTGCAGCTCCGCTGCTAGACTGTTTGCTTAGCATGTCCAGAGACTGGGGTTCAAAGCCAAGCACAGATCTAGTGTGGTGGCTCACGCCTGTGATCCCAGCACCCAAGGCAAGTCATGCATCAGAAGTTCAAGGTCTTCCACGGGCACTTAGCCAGTTGGAGGCCAGCCTGGGCTACAGGAGACCCATCTGACAGAGTAAGACGAAGCGGAGGCAGCCCCGCCAGCAGAGCCTCACATCTCCGTTCACCCAACGGATGATCTTCCCTAGGAAGGGCGCCATGAGCTGAGCTTAAGAGCGGGGTCATCCCGCCACATCTACCCCAAATCATGAATTAGTGGCTATGTTTGTTTCCCGGTGTCGCCGTTACAAACCGAGTGATTAAACACACACGCGCATCCAGGAAGTGGTGGCACACGCCTTTGACCCCCATGCTCAGACTGCTGAGGCAGGAGGATCTCTGTGAGTGTGGATCCAGCTGGAGCTACCCAGCAAAACCCAGAATGCAACAGGGTAAAATCAACCAGCGACCCAGTAGTCTGGGTCTGCACTCCATCTGGAGGTTCAGGAAACCCTTGTATAGCTCCGGGTGATGCCAGCCTGCCCTGGGGCCCTGAGCTAGGCTGCACGGTCGCGCCACGCCCTGCCTGAGCTGCCGCTTGGACTCCTCTCCCCGCCTGTGTCCAGATTTCTTGTTCCTTTTAGGGCAGCGGTCGCTGTAGTGGCATTGATCTTGTGAGCATATTTTAATCTGTCATGTCTGCAAAGAGCCCGTTTCAGAATAAGGTCATGTCTACAGGCACCACGGTCGGAACTTTAACCTGTCCTCTGGGGTTCGGCAGTGGCTGACATATTTCCATACAGTGCTGTCTGTTAGGAAGTGGTGGTTCAAGCGTGGTAAGGCCTAGCTGTGTGCAGTGGCCCTCGCCTTTCCCCAGCACTCGGGAGGCAGAGACAGGAGGATCTCTGTGAACTTGAGGCCAGCCTGGTCTACATAGTGAGACCAGGACAGCCAGACCCTGCCTCAAACAAACAAACAAAGCCGAAGAAATGTAGTTCACTGATAGAGCCCCTGCCTAGAATCCCCCAGTGAGGAGCTGGGGGTGGCTCA